AACAAAGCAGAGGGTCTTTTCGGTGGTGGCACCCGCCCTATGGAATGCCGTCCCATCAGATGTCAAGAAAATGAGTAGCTATATAATCTTTAGAAGACATCTGAAGGCAGCCCTGAATAGGGAAGGCTTTTAATGTGTAATGTTGTGTTACGTTTTTATTTATGTTGGAAGCTGCCAAGAGTGGCTGGGGCAATCCAGTCAGATTAGCAGGGTACAAATAATAGATTTATTTATTTATTTAGCCTGCTGTAGTAGTAATAATAATAATAATAATAATAATAATAATAATAATAATAATAATAGCATTCAGTAGGTGCCAGGGAGGGGGCCTCTGGCCTCAACAGGAAGGGAATTCCACAAAATTGTGCCCACAATACTAAACACGCTGTGCATCTGAGCCATGGGGGGCCAAGAACAGTGAGTCCCCCAGAGGCCTCTGTGATCAGGTAGGGATATAAGGGATCAGGTGCTCCCTAAGGTAACTTGGACCCAGGTGGCTAAGGGCCTTGTAAATTAATACAAAAGCATAGCGCTTGCCCCAGTAGCATATGGGCAGTCAGCGCAAGCTTTTGAGCTTTGGAATTATGCGCTGGTGAGAATTTATCCCCACTAACTGTCTAGGTGTAGCATTCTGCACCGGTGGAACTTCCAGACCAGGCCCAAGAGTAGACCCACATTGCAATAATCCAATCTATAACCGGGGGGGGGGGGGCATTTCAACAGCAGTAACATGGTAACACTGGGGAAGCATCACAGAACAACTAATAAACTGAAGGATGTGTGGAGCGTCCACTAATGCACTGTTATTGTCTGTCTTTTCGCTCTGGCAATGCAACCCTGGCACTGAGCAGGTGAACCAAGGCTGTGTATACACCATGCATGCTTTCCCCCTAAGGATAATAGGAACTGTAGTTTGCCCCACAGAGAACTACAGTTCCCGGCACCCATAATAAGCTACAGTTCCCAGGGTGAAGCTATGTGCTTTAAGTGTGTGTGTAGCCCAAGAGGTGCTTTTGAAGTAATTCTCTCTGCCTTGGAGACTCCACCTTTTCCCCTCTGGAAGTATACCAATGATACAACAGACTCTGCAGATGACTGAGACATTCTCCTTGCTTGACATTTGCTTTGAACGTGCTGGTTCTAGGGCTCACTGGTACCTTTAAAGCAACCCCCACCCCAGAACCTTGGGAGCTGTAGTTTGTTAAGAGTGCTGGGAATTGTAGCTGAGGGGTAAACTACAGTTCCCAGGGTTCCAGCGTGTATATGCTTCAAAAGTATGGTGAGTACACAGCCAGAGACACATCTACAAGGCCATGTTTTAAAAGCATTTGCTACTTTTGTGTTTTTAAGTGTTTTTAATCATCTTACCCGTAAATTGCCTTGAGACTGTGGTTTAGTTAATCAACGGTAAAGATTAGTAACAATACTGTAATAACAATATATTGTTGTCTTCTTACAGAGATTCCTGTCCTGTGAACATCAGGCAGAAATTTAGCCTCTTATCATAGCTCTGGGGTGATCACATCACCTGTTGAACTCGCCGGAGTGGCACAGGAAAGCAAGCAAGCGGTAATACTACACACGCGCACGCGCGCACATGCATACGTGTCAACTGTTAAAGCAACTCTCTTAACTTACACGCACGCTTCCTTGCAAACAAACTTCCTGCGGTTCTCCTGAGTGCCGTGGGAACTCGCACGGAGTCACGTGGACATCACAGGCCGCCCATCGCTGGTCCCGGACCTCTGACTTACCTTGCGTGTTCTTCTCCGGGTCAAACTTCTGACCGCATCCCTTGTTGTAGCAGAGCAAAGCCATCTCCTGGGTCGGGGATCCAGACCCTCACAAAGAAAGGCAGGCAGGCAGGCAGGCAGGCAGGCAAGCCGGGCCGGCTCTGTCACTGTCCAGCACGCATCCCTGTCAGTCAGAGAGGCTCTGTCGACCGCAACTTTCGGGGCTGGGCGAAAAACGAGCCCTGGCTATCTTTAGCAGGCGGCAAGGGGGAGGGCCCTGCAACCGGAGCCCGGCCCAAAGATGGGCATGCAACCCGTTCGGCCTACCAGAAGCATTGAACAAACAGGCGTGGATTGCCCCGGCGGGGAGGGCACAGCGCAATGGGGCGGCAGCGGCGGCAGCAAGGCAGATGCTCCAGAGACATAAAGGACTGGTCTTCTCCATATTGAAGATGCTCAGATCAGCTGTTGTTTGGGCTGCGTTGCATTAAGTACCCCTGCCCCCTGTTTGTTTGTTTTTATTTATTACATTTCTATACCACCTTTATATTCCAAGGATCTCAAAGCGTTGCATGTGGTTCTCCTCCTCCCCATTTCATCCTCACAACAACCCTGTGAGGTAGATCAGACCAAGAGACGGTGACTGGCTCAAGGTCACCCAGGGAGCTTCATGGCTGAGAGAGGATTCGAACCCTGGTCTCCCAGCCAGGTTCTAGTCCAACACCCGCAACCATTCCCAGGAACGGTAGTTTGTTAAGGGTGCTGGGAAGTGTAGCAAGGCTGGCCAAAGACATTTTGGCACCTGAGGCAGGGAATAAGGGGTCAGGAAAGATCCTACATCAGGAACAACAGCTGAGTCCCTAGAGCATGAGACTCAATCTCAGGCCCACGTTGGGCATAAGATCCCTGCAAGGCAGAGGGTTGGACTAGATGACTCTTGGGGTCCCTTCCAACACTACAATTCTATAATTCCAAGTGGGGTGGGAAAGAAACATCAATGTTGGGATGTGCTGCCCCACTGGACCCTGACACCTGAGGTGGTTGCCTCACCTTGACCTGTGGGTGGGCCAGCCTTCTGTGAGGGCTAAACTACAGTTCCCATAATTGTTATTTTTCAGGGAGGCTGGATTTGCCTTAATTGTATTGTGTGTGTGTGGCTTTTTGTTTCTCTTGCATCTTTGACTTGGCTTCCCAACCCCACTCTGTGGTGCTCAAATCCCCAAACCCCACAATCTTGACATCTTAGGGTTTTTCTAGGAGATAATGCATTTCATACTTTGAACACAAACCCACAGTGGTTGGGAGGATGCATGTCCTTACCAGAAGTGGGGGGGGGGGGCTGTGGGCAGAGGCAGATTTAGGGGGTGTATGACCAGTTCGGTTGCACTGGGGGCAAAGTCTGGGGGCACTGTTGGGGGGCACCAAATTTTGGAGTCACCAAAATCACAGCTGAAATTTGAGAATCCAAGGTCTGCCTCTGCTGTGGAATCCACTTCCTCAAGACATAGTAGTGGTAGCTCTCAATTAAGGTGGATTTAAAAAAATAGGCAACTTTGCAGCTGACAATGACTTCCAACCATAATAGCTATGTCCCACCTCCACTGTTGGGGCTGCTAGCAAATCACAAGTGGGGAGAGTAGCTTCCCATAGTACTTTTTTTTTTTAATCTATTCATTGCTTTTACGTCACATTTTTTCTCCAAGGAGCTCAAGGTGGTGTACATACAATTTCTGCCCCTCATTTAATTCCCACAACAACCCTCTGAGGTCATTTAAGCAGAGAGGCACAGGCCAGCCTCCCAGGTTGCACCCAGTGAGCTTTGTGGCTGAGCAGGGATTCGAACCCTCATCTCCCATGTCCTAGTCTGGCACCCTTACCATTACACTACGCTGACTCCTTCTGTTATTACCACTTTGTCATTTTTCACACTGAAGTGTCTCAGAGCAACTTACAGGATAAAAATAGGAACCAAGAAAAAAAATAAAACCAAACATAAGAGCAGCAACAAAATAATAGGCTTCTGGCCACTCTGAGAACAGGATGCGAGGTGACAAGATGTGCCTTTTTGCCTGATCTGGTGTTCTTGTGTTCATGCATTTGGATAGCTCAGTCAGTAGACAATGAGACCCTTAATCTCAGGGTCATGGGTTGGAGCCTCACGTTGGGCAAAAGATTCCTGTATTGCATGGGTTGGACTAGATGACCCTTGTGACCCTCTTCCAACTCTACAATTCTATAATCTTCTTCTATTTCCTGCCCTAAAGGTAAAGGTAAAGGTACCCCTGCCCGTACGGGCCAGTCTTGACAGACTCTAGGGTTGTGCGCCCATCTCACTCAAGAGGCCGGGGGCCAGCGCTGTCCGGAGACACTTCCGGGTCACATGGCCAACATGACAAGCTGCATCTGGCGAGCCAGAGCCGCACACGGAACGCCGTTTACCTTCCCGCTATAAAGCGGTCCCTATTTATCTACTTGCACCCGGGAGTGCTTTCGAACTGCTAGGTTGGCAGGCGCTGGGACCAAACAACGGGAGCGCACCCCGCCACGGGGATTCAAACCGCTGACCTTTCAATCAGCAAGCCCTAGGCACTGAGGCTTTTACCCACAGCGCCACCCGCGTCCCATTTCCTGCCCTACATCCACACTAATCAGCTCAGTGGGGATCACGTGAGAAAAGACCCAAAGGCTATTGTCCCTAAAAGATTGCTAACAAAAGACTGCTGTGGACAGTTGGATGGAAAGTGACACAACCAATCGGGTCCACCCACCTCCATCCCTGCTCTCTGTGAGCATCTGTTTCCAGATTCCCTGTACAGATGCAAGAATATTGTGATGGCTGCATATGGTGTTTTAACTGGAGGTGCAACCATGCAATGCACGCACTTTCCCCAAAAGGCACTGCAGAAGAAGGTCCCTAGAAGATGTGATGCCCAGCACATGCATGAAGAACAGGGGTGTTCACATAGCCCATGTGGTATAGCAATTAAAGTGCAAGACCTGGGAGACCAGGGTTCGAATCTCCACTGAGCCTCAAAGCTCACTCAGTGACCTTGGGCCAGCCACTGCCTCTCAACCTACCCTACCTCACAAGGTTGTTTTGGAGTTTAAATGAAGAGGAGAGAAAGCTGCATAGGCCACGCTGAGCTCCTTGGAGAAGAAATGTGGAGAGATTTGGAGAGATACGAATGCTACAGATACATGGGTAGGCAAACTAAGGCCCGGGGGCTGGATCCGGCCCAATCGTCTTCCAAATCTGGCCCATGGATGGTCTGGGAATCAGTGTTTATTTCTCTGTTTCCTGAGATCCCACACAAATCTCGAGATTTGCAGGACAATATATGTACAAAAAAACCCGAAACAAAGCCTGGAGTGGGTTAAAAGAAGAGAAAGCAAAATGCAATGGTTGGTCTTGCTTCCATGGGGCCTCATTCAGCCAGCTGCACACATGCCCTGCATCTACAGGTGAACTGGAAAGTGGATAAATGCCGTAATTACCTGCAATCTTCCTTATCAGCCCCATCCAGCATGCTACTATAGTATCTGAAGATCTGAAGGACGGCCAGGTTGGGGAAGCTTGCATTAAAGATCCCTAAGAAATTGGACTGCCTTGTCACATTTCCCACACCCCACAGGATGGCTGATTTCAAAACATTCCCATCTCACAGTTCCCCCAATATGTCTCTGCTGTCTGGCTGCTTTGCTGGTCTTTGCAGCATCTGTTGAGAAAAAAAGCAATCTTGGGCTGTCTCCCGATCCCACCCCACTGATAGATACCCTGAAATCCAGAAAGCCCTACCCTACCCCACCCCCATTTCCTGCCTTGAGCCAAGGGTGTCCCCTCCAAGATCCCCTTGGGAGAGGTTGACCATTGCAGTTCCGTTCAACCAAGAAAATCCCCGGCTCTCTATATCCATCAACAAAGTCCCCATTTCTCTGGGACTGAGTCCAGACTTCAGGTTGTCCTCTCTGCTAGGCTGGTCAGCTTTTTCTGAGTCAGTTCATAGGCAAGGAAGAGGGCACCATTGGATGGCAGGGCACGGATCACCGTGGGCATCAGCCCGCAGTAAAGAGGCATAAACCCTGCAAGAAAAAGGAACATATAAAACAATCTTATACCACGCCACACTATTTGTCAATCTATCCCAATATTGTCTGCTTTGGAGGGTAGCTGATGTCATGGGGCTGAGACAGAGAGGGGTCTTTCTCAGCACTTATTATTATTAAATTATTGTTGTTGTTATTAGTTACTTCTTATATGCCAAAAAGGTTTCTAAGTAGTTTACAAGTGTAAACATCAATACATAATTAAATACACACGAACAAATCCATTAGGGAATTAAAACTTCCTCAATTAAAATATAAAATAAGGTAAAGGTAAAGGTACCCCTGCCCGTACGGGCCAGTCTTGATAGACTCTAGGGTTGTGCGCCCATCTCACTCTAGAGGCTGGGGGCCAGCGCTGTCCGCAGACACTTCCGGGTCACGTGGCCAGCGTGACATCGCTGCTCTGGCGAGCCAGAGCCGCACACGGAAACGCTGTTTACCTTCCCGCTAGTAAGCGGTCCCTATTTATCTACTTGCACCCGGGAGTGCTTTCGAACTGCTAGGTTGGCAGGCGCTGGGACCAAACAACAGGAGCGCACCCCGCCGCGGGGATTCGAACCGCCGACCTTTCGATCGGCAAGCCCTAGGCGCTGAGGCTTTTACCCACAGCGCCACCCGCGTCCAAAATATAAAATAAAAACAAACAATTAAGAAACGTGTGATAAAAACCATTAAAAGCAATAAAACCAGAAATTCAAGTTCAGAAGAATGCTTGCCTAAACAATTCTGTCTTCGGGAACCGGCAGAATGCCAATGCTGATGTGGCCTCTTGTATTTCAGCAGGGAGGACTGGGATTGAACCTGAGGCCTTCTGCATTAAAAGCACCTGCTCTGATCATCCATACCCATAGAAAGAGGCAATAACAAGGCAGTCTTTTGATGCCTAGTGGGGAACCTCTGACACACAGTCCTAATTGGGCACCTGTAGGACACTCTGTTTATCCAGTGAGGCCATTTTGGCCAACCACAAACACATATGGTCTCAGGTCAGGCTCATAACGATTGGGCTTGGCTGAAAGGGGTTTTTCAGACACAGCCCCTGTGCACCAGACTCTGCAAGCACTGACAGTTAGCTAGTTGCTGGAGCTTGCAAAGCTCTGTGCTATTCCATTGCCCCTGCTGAGAGACCAGCTGCATTTGTCCCTCCCTAAGAGTCCCTAAGAAGATATGGGTGGCACTGTGGTCTAAACCACTGAGCCTAGGGCTTGACGATCGGAAGGTCAGTGGTTCGAATCCCCGTTCCTTGGTCCTTGCTCCTGCCAACCTAGCAGTTCGAAAGCACATCAAAGTGCAAAGTAGATAAATAGGTACTGCTCTGGCAGGAAGGTAAATGGTGTTTCCATGCACTGCTCTGGTTTCACCAGAAGCGGCTTAGTCATGCTGGCCACATGACCCAGAAAAACTGTCTGCAGACAAACGTCGGCTCCCTCGGCCAGTAAAGTGAGATGAGCACTGCAGCCCCAGAGTCATTCACGACGGGACTTAACTGTCAGGGCTCCTTTACCTTTTTAAGAGTTCCCTAGCAGCAGCCATGCCCTCAGCCTGCCTGAATTGTTTCCTCTGCAGCTGGTTGCTTGACAAACTGTACCTTTAAGAACTGCTGCCCAGAGTTTGCTTTTTTTCTTCTTCCCTAAGTCCTCCTCTCCTTTTTCCTTGTGTGTTGTGCCTTTTCCATTGTAGCCCCGAGGGCAGGGAATGTCTGACTACTCATCTTTGTAAGCCACTCTGGGAACCTTGCAGCTTAAGGACAAAGTTTTTTTTAAAAAAATAATGCTTTAAATAAATAAATGTCTAGGAAGGACTCGCCTTCTGTACGTAGGATGTGTAAGAAGGAGAGCAGGAAACCATCTTGCCGCCCAGCCATGGACAACACCTGGATCCGTGATTTCACTGAATCAATGGGATAGACAGCCAGCCAGAAAGCAGCACCACCGATTCCGCCACTCACAGTCACAGGGAGAGCACCTGCAAAAAGTAGGTGTAGCTTAACGGTCACCGTTGTTTCTCAAGCAGATTGTGGTCAAGTGCATCTAGGCAAGACCCACTTCTGGAACATTTCAGAAAGCTTAAGATGGGTTTACACAATAGCAGTCTCTCCAACAGAGCAGGGTGGTGGTAAATTCTGAAGTGCAGACACTCCTATTAGCATTGCCTTCTAAGACTATATGGTAAAAATGATTTTGGGCTATTACACACCACTTTGCTTAGCGTCCATCCTGATAAAGAGTTCTGATGGACTCGTATTTTGTGACATTTTTGGTTAACTATAATAAAGGGACTTTGCAATGATGGGAGTCGGGAGTACAATATGGTTGCAGGGCACCAGGTTGGAAAAGGTGCCCTAAGGGCCATGAATTGCTGAAGCAGAGATGGGGAACTTGTGAATCTAGCTGGACTCCAGCTCCCATCAACCTGACCATTGGCCATGCTGGCTGGGGCTGATGGGTGTTGGAGTCCAACAATTTCATGAGGGCTGCAGAGGATGATAACACCGGGCTAGATGGGCAATAATCTGAAGGCAGCTCTGTATCGGGAAGTTTTTAATGTTTTACATTTTATTATGTTTTTATATGTGCTCGAAGCCTAATAATAATGATGATGATGATGATGTTTCATGGGTCAGGCAAACTTTGTAGCCTCAGTAGTGGCCAAGTGATGACTAAGAAAAGGAACTTGGAACAGCAAGCTTCGTGCCTACCGACATTAGACAGGTACATCCACTATATTCTTTTAAACACCTGCTGAAAACTTTTCTGTATTCAACAAATCTATCCAGACACATGAATTAGTTACAGCCATTTCAGATGTTTCATTGATTTAATCCTTCATAAACGGTTTCATGCATATCTGTTTTTAATTGCTTTGCACATCCTAATCATGCTTTATATATAAAGTCAGACTGCACGCTGCTTGGATACTTTTATTTGAGCAAGCCGTTTATGCATTTTTGAAATAGGCAAACAAAAATGAATGGTGAGGAGGCTGGCATGGAAGCAGGCAGCTGCTGTCTTCCCTGGATCAGAGCCCTTCCACCACAATCACTGTGTCAGAGCTCCCCAGAAGGAAGGGGCTGGCATTCCCCAGAGGAATCATCGGCACATTCTAGGACATGCAAGATTCTGCTTGGGTCTGGCACCTGCTGGAGAGTCTGCACTCTTCCAGAACCCCCTTCCTGCATTCCTGGCAGGCAGAGCAGCTGGCACAGGCGTGAGAGCAAGAAAGCCAATTCTAATGGAATCCCTCTTCAGGGCACCTCTGAAGGGCAAATTGAGGCATGCCACCACACACAGAAGCATCCAAGAAAAAGATAATTCTAAGCAAATATATATTTTCTCTGCCAGAGTATTTACATGGGGGCTTCTCAGGATCTCCCTTGCCCAAGAGCAAGTTCTGCTGACTACCCAAATAGGACTAAACTGAACCCTTGCTATTGACTGTTTGATCTCCCCCAAAAGGGGACCCCTCTTCCAGGTGGTCTTTGTATTGTCCGTTCAGGAAGATTTAGTTCATAGTGGTGTTTAGGCATTTATCTGCTGTCTTGTTTGCAGCTGCAAAAGATGTTGGAATGGATATACTGTTTCATTTCCAAATCAGTGCCTATTTTGTAACTTTCTACTGAAATCTTGTAAACTTTTTCTTGCCCTGCAGGGCAAAGGTGTCTGTCCAGAAAGCAATAATGCAGCAACATTGGGGTAGCATTGCAGAGCAACTAATAAAGCAGAATGATCTGTAGTTAGTTCACCACTATCATTGCATCAATAGCACATTGTAGAATACCTCTGCACAACCCAGGAAAGGCTGCTGCCTCCGACATCTTTCAGCTCATTTCTTTTTCCCCATTCTGGCTTACTGGGCAAAGCTGAGGACCCCTGTAGGGAAATCCCCCTGCTCCCAGGCTTTGCTTACCCAGCTCTTCCTTTGACTGTCCAGCCTGGAGGAAGAAGCTTCGGCTGACTTCATAACCCCCAAAGAAGAAGAAATAGCCAGGCACCTCCCGTAGCCATGTGCTGGTCAGTCCCTGGAAGAAACCCAGGGGGCCTTCTGAACGGAAGATGGCTTTCACCACAGTCCAGGTGGAACTATAAGAGGGGAGAGAAGAATGTCCCATGACACATGGAGAGCACAGAGAATCCATATTAGGGGTAGACTGAGGGCCTCGTTTCCCAATGGGCAGCCTTTCTGGGACTGCATGCCTGGGTAGCTGGGACAACAGATTTGACATTCATCTTTGTACAGGAGGCAACAGGCCAATCTTGCAAAAGCCAGAGGCTTCCAGACACACTGTTTTTGGGAATTTGTGAGTGGAAGACTCCCCTGGGTGATGAGTTAGTGAGTGCCAGACACTGAACCCCTGTTGGGAAATGCATTGCTTCACGACACAGTAATTCAGTTTTACTAGCAAACTGGAGGTTAAACTAACCCCTTTCCAGCCCCAAGAGGAGCGCAGGGAGCATTCTCACAACACACCTACACACTGCAGCCAACACGCTAATGTGTCATGAGACACAGTTTGGCAAGCTCTGAGTTAAACTATAAGTCAGGCCAGCTTCTGTATGAGGTAATCGCCTGGGAGATGAGCCACTAAGAAAACAAAAGGAAGGTAGGTTATGAGCGATTAGGAAAGCCAAGGAGAGAGGGAAATGGAAGGAGCTCTTCCCTCAACTGTTAGTTAGAAAGCCGAAAGGCACGTGTTTTTGGTTGACTGTGATGTGAGCTAGAAGCTGGGGGAAAGCAGCAAGCAGAGGTTCAGAGACCCATGGCTTATTTCTGTTTGAGTCCAAGGCTGCGGCCAGTGTTTTTTGCCTGGGGGTACGCATACCCCTAAACATTTTGTGAATCTTTGTACTTTTGTCCATTTGCTGTATTTATTCTTCCCAATTTGAACTATAAAATGGTGATTTTCTTGAGTCAAAATGAGAGTACCCCTAAACATTTTTTTTAGAAAAAAAGCACTGGCTGCAGCTATGGATGACACAAGAACCTCTTGGGGTGTTAATGCTGTGAGCCCCTCCATCACAGGCTCAGGTTGCATATATGTGTGAATAAACCATATATCTTAAAGACACCCAGTCTTCGCTGTGCCTCAAAAGGAAATCCTGGGTGACTGCTTGGAGCCCCTGGAATCTCACACTGTTGTGGAGACTGGGGTGGCATGCAACAGTGCATTTCCCCACTCAGGCAAGCAGGAGGCATTCTTGGAGTTCAAGAACACATTGCAGCCAGGCGAAAAATCTGGGAGGGGTGTGACCTAGGAAGGAGGTGTGGCCTATGGAGAATTCAGAGGACCAGTCAGAGAAGCCAAGGAAGCCTCTCTCTCTTTCTCAAGACATAATTAACATCAGGTATCCTTTCCCAATCTGGGACCTTCCAAGTGTTCCAGCCAACAATTCTAATGACAATTCCCATGAATTATTATTTTTTGGTGGGGGGGAGGCATGATTGTTTATAGTGGTACATGATTGTTTATAGTGGTACAGTACTGCTTTGAATAGGGACGTGGGTGGCGCTGTGGGTTAAAGCCTCAGCGCCTAGGACTTGCCGATCGAAAGGTCGGCGGTTCGAATCCCCGCGGCGGGGTGCGCTCCCGTTGCTCGGTCCCAGCGCCTGCCAACCTAGCAGTTCGAAAGCACCTTTGGGTGCAAGTAGATAAATAGGGACCGCTTACCAGCGGGAAGGTAAACGGCGTTTCCGTGTGCTGCGCTGGCTCGCCAGAGCAGCTTTGTCACGCTGGCCACGTGACCCGGAAGTGTCTGCGGACAGTGCTGGCTCCCGGCCTCTAGAGTGAGATGAGCGCACAACCCTAGAGTCTGGCAAGACTGGCCCATACGGGCAGGGGTACCTTTACCTTACTGCTTTGAATGTGTAGTGCAGAGGGGGCCTTAGATGGCTTCCCCTCTCAAAGGATTAAATTCACATGGGAGAGATGTCTTGGCACCCATTAGCCTGGATAACGAAATAGAGCCTCCATGTTGCGAGGCAGTCTACCTCCGAGTACCTGTGCCTCGACAGAGCTGTCTGCCCTGTGACCTTCATCTCATGGAGAGCTTGCATCCGGCACTTCACCAGCTCTGTGGGGCACAGAACCATGGAGGAGAAGACTGATGAGAAGGAGCCGGCAATCGCGCTGTGCAAATCACTGTAATAACCCGAGAGAAGAATCCTCAGAGGAAAGCGAAGACCAGAGGGCGGGTGGGGGGAATCCCACAGCTAGGGAGCAACCTTCCATCTTCCCATACACTATGCATTTGTTCGCCTTTTGCCATCAGAAATGAGCTGATTAAGTCAATCAGCCCACTCGAACCTGGTGTCCTCCAGAGGTTTTGGGCTGCAACTCTGATTGGGAAGTCTGACCAGGTTGAGGAATTCTGAGCAAAAGGATCCTACCTTGAGCAGCCTCCCACCCAACCCTCCCTTTGCATTCTATTTACTTATTTACTTATTTAAATCCCTCTTTACACTTACGTTGCAAGCTACTGTGAGGCCTATGCTATGTCATATATTTAAAAGACAAACTAAAGCTGCAGAATTTAAAACCTCAAGGATTTAAAACATAAAAGAAAAAGCAAAACATCTGAGAGGCATTCAGGGCACAAGACCTCCTGAAATCAAACAGTTCTGACCAGGTGCCTGAAACTCAGAAGGGACTGTTCCTATCTAACTTTCTCCAGAGGGGATTTCCATAGAGTTGGGGCCCACAGTCCTGAAGCTATGACTCACCCTGGGTGTCCAGTGTGGTGGCTGGTGTCCATTGGGACTCATAGGGCAGACAATGGGGAGCCAGAGCTGAGGACAGGCAGAGCCAACTAATTCCAGCTTTACCCCCATCCACCTCCCTGCCTTCTAACAAGGCCAAAACTGAGACTGAGGAGGAAGATGGCAGGCGAGCCCTCCACCCTACCCTGTGCTTGGCTGTAAGCAATAATGCACCACTGTTTATATCAATGTCTAAGAGCCTCTGGCAGAAGAGAGGGGAAGAGAAAAAGACTGTACCTGAGCTCCTGGACATTGCCCAACCCAAAGAGCTGCCTCACGAGCTGCTGGCAGAACCCGTAGCAGGCAAAAAGCACAGCGTTCTCCGCGACGTTGGCCAGCAAGGCTGGAGTGGTGCCTTGGTAGAGCCCGTGCATGCCCTCCTGCTGGTAGGTCTTGACTGAGCAGTCAAAGAAGCCCTGGTACATTGTTGGGAAGGTCTGCATCTTCACCTTGATGGTGTCAAAAGGCTGCCCGGTCACCACGCATGCCACACCACCTGCAAAGAGCCACCCCACCCCAGGCAAGGTCACTCACTTGCTCCTGAAATACAGGGCAGATCAAACCAACTGTACTGCAGTGCCTGCTTTGCCAAAACGTACCCATGAAACATGTCAAGGGATGAGCATTAAAGGAGCAGCACTCACACACTCTCCCTGTTCTATAAGGCCTGCTTCTGTTCTAAGCTGCTATGATGGAAATGGGACACATTAGGGCGCCTCTCCCATATAAACTTGTCAGAGCATTCAGATCCAGCATCTCAAGTCGCATGTCCCCATAGCTTTGCTGGCATCTCTTCAGTGCCAGGACAACCTATATATTTTCCCTAACTAAGATTATGCTGTTTTTCTACTTCCTAGCGTGCTGCTAAACTTCCTGTGGCTAGTTTGGGGTTTGTTTTGGTCTGTTTTTATGGTATAATGTATTTATATTTGTGTGTTACATGCGTTGTAAGTTGCATGGAGACCTCAAAGTAACAAGCAACTGACAATAAAAGAACAGCAATGAAGCTAAAGCTGCAGCAATCTTGCCTCCATTCTTCCTCCTGCCTTTCCTTGTTGTCTGCCTTGTGTTTATTGGCTGGCCAGCCATGAGAAGTGGAGTCTTTTATGTGATGGCACCCAGACTGTGGAATGCCTTCTCGAGGCACCTTTGCCTTCACCATGGCTGCTTGCTTTGGCCAGAGCACTTAATGCCCATTTATTTCCTCTGGCTATTTCTCTGCTGACTTGGAACGTTATCTGTCAAAGGCTTGGCGTTTCTAATTCGTCTCTGCTTGTCTTCACCTGTATTTATTTATAAAACCTACAAACAGCTTTTCACCACCAAAGTGGTCCCAAAGACAGATTCAGAAAGTGTGACAAGGAAAACAAAATTACAGTTTGAACATTAAAACCAGCAGAAGTACATGCTGTACCCTACGAAAGATAAGACTTCAGAGCAGACCTGACCAAGACCTTTATTTTCTTGGATACGTTTTGTGATGTTTTAGGGATATCTTGCACAGAGAAGTAGAAGAACAGAGATTATCCTGAGATCATGAGACCTGTCTCTCTACACCACCTGGGAGGGAAGTTCAGAGAGTGGTGGTGATAACAGGCTTTGTATGCAGTAGATCCCAATTTATATATACTCTCTCCAGGGAAGCCGGCCTGGCACCAGCCTTGTCTGCATTTTTGCCTCAGAAATACCTTTTTTTGTTTTCTTGGATGTTTGGGCAGCATGGATAATGGGATATTGTATTGTTAAACCTGTTTTAATGTTTACGTGATTCTGAAACTGTATTTCTTAACCTAAACCTAGCTAGGATGAAATAAATGAGCTGAGGAAAGTGGACATGCAGAGATCTCTTCACTCAGTCTTAGCCAGAAAACAAATTTGACAGCAAGACCCTATGGGGTAGCAGCAGGTACCTGCCAGCAAGCCCAGTTGTCATAAGTCAGCTTTCACCAAATGTTTTGGACTACAATTCCCATCAGACCATTCACAATCCAAAGCATTTGGAGGGCACCAGGTTAACAAAATCTACCTTACGCTGTTGCCAGTTCTACACATCTCTTTCCCTTCAGAGCAGACAACTAGAAGCCAGACTCTGCACAGGGCCTGCCAGATGTAGACCTATATAACACTACAATAAAAGACCATGCAGATCTCCATATACTTGCATGCACACACCCCTCACATCCAAGATCCATCAAGATCCCATGGCTCTTCTCTGAATCTTGCTTGCTTTCCTGAACAGGCATTGCCTCCAGTGCTTGCTCAGTTTTAAGGGAGGGGGGGGAAACTTTCCAGTTAAGGACCGCCATTACCTTTTGGACAAGGCCACATTCAAGTGGTGGGCGGAGCCAGAGGCAAAAGTGGTTGGACCAAGCAAGGCAAGTTTTGCCTTTGTACAGTAGGCTTATTTCTGCACGCACACCCACACGCCTCTCTATCTTCCACGCAAAAGGCACGGTCAATGACACATTCCAACCAGACAGAAGTACTTAAGGCAGGGGCAAAGCAGGGCTGGTGGGGATTGTGGTATGGGGAAAGTCCCATGGGTCAGTCAGAGAGGCTTGGAGCTGCCCCTCCTAGGTTAAGAGTTCCATTCTTCCCTACACCTGCCATTGATCCTTGGTCTCCCCTCTAAAGGGAGGCTTCTTGACCCATCCTCCCAGCAGCTCTCCATCCTTCAGGCTCACCTGCTGCCCCTGCAGTGAGGTCGATAAGCATCTGCACCAGCGGGTGGACTCGGGCTTGTTCAGTAGGCATCTCAGCACACAAACGTTCAGGTGCAGGTGTCCCAAAGAAGACTGCAAGACTGGAGGGGGGAAAGAAGAACATCAGTGGTGTAGTGGTTAAGTTTTGAAGCAACTCAGCATGACGGCCCCTGTAGCCACGCAGTCAAGGAGAGTCCAGAAATTAGGCAGCTGTACTGACCCATTATTATTATATAGACAAGCGCAGAAGCATCATTACATAGCATAACACCCAGTTTATTAGGACCAGCATGCCTGCAATCCAACAGCTTCCTGGGAGCATTATTAAACTTGGAGGTGCTTCCTTCCCATTGAAAGGGTGGGCTTGCAAAACACACAGCTTTAATGAAAGATCTTCAGTTAGCTAGAAGACAACCTTATGGGTTGTATCCAATGGTGGTCACATTCAAAGCAGGCCCAATGAAATTAATGAACCTAGTTCCATTTGTTTCAGTTAGGTCTGCTCTAGGTATGACAGTGGGACTTAGAAAAGCACCTAAACATGAAAATGTTACTATTCAAATTGTTAGCATGAAGTAAGAACCTCACTGAACAAAGAAATGCCTCAACTTTGCTTATTTTTCACAGGCTTCTGACTACTTCCAAGCTAATCTGTTGCAAACACACTCGAAAGCTTATTGCGCCATTTAATTGCTAGAAAAAGGAGGATCTGCTGTTCCAGATGACCTCAGTGCCTGGCATTAATTATCCTGGCAGTCTAGGAGATGACAGCATTCCTCAGCTTGGGGGGAAAGTTCCCAGATCTGCACTCCTACACCACTGAAGAGCGTCATCTAAATAGGCTCCATCCTGCCCCCCCAACCGAAGGTTATGTAAATATCTGAGTAACAGACCTGTAAGGGGAGATGGTGAAGCAGGATGAGGTGTCCCAGGCAGCTACCTGAGGTAGGCAGATGAGGTGCAAAAAGTTAAAAGGAGCCAAACAAGGAATGTGAGTTGGGTGGGGGTGGCATTTCCATTCTGTCTTGTGCCTTCTTACCCACCCCAGCCTTAGCCAGACAGTCAGCCAGACAGCCAAATACTCTTCAGGGGGTAAAGGCTGCTAAATTTTCTCCCAGCAGGGCTCCTGGGCATTTATTAGCTCTATGCAGCAAGTGGATCATTCCCCATCTATATATACTAGACAGGAAGCATTCACTGTTGAGATTTCTAGCTGTTGCACAGTTGCGTGAGGCAGATTCCTTGACACAAATACACACACACACTTCCAGAGATTCTTTAAAGTTGCTAAAATTTGCTTTGTACAGGTCTTCATCCAGTGCTCACCATGAAGTTGTTACTGCAAGTGCCACACTTTTAACATAAAAAGGACGAATGGACCCTGTAACAAATCGTAGTAACACGGGGCCATTGCATTAGCTGGCTTTGCGGTGGGCTGATAAAAGGCCTCTCATAAAGACTTAAAGGGAAATGACCAGACAGCAACTGGAAAAATCCTGTCAGATCAGAAAACTGATGAAGGCTGTTACAAGGTCTCTGGGACAGCTAGAAAACCAGGCTGCTCTCTTGTAGGTTAATTGCTCGCTCATCTTTTTGCCATAGGGCTGGAAATGCCAATCTGAGTAGTAGGGCGCAGCTGCAGAGCTGCACCAACAGAATCTAACAACAGAAAGGTGGAATGAAATTATGGTGAAGATTGCTACAGTCAGCTCTTTGGTATTTAGAATACCAAAAGTATCGAGAGACTTTGGGTCATTTTACAAGCCTGTAGGAATCTGCAGAGCTGCTACAGAACACTGAAACCAACAGGATACAGACAGGTACTGTGGGACACTAGGCCGTTCTCCCAAACATGACCAAAACCTCAAGCTTCTTGAGGCCATCTCAGGATACAGCTTTGGGAGAATGGCTATCACCACGTAGGTGGACTCTGCTGCCTGACAAGCTCATGTTTCTTGGGTGAAATTCCAGGTGCTGATTACAACTGCCCAAGGCTGGGTGCCAAGTTACCTTACCTACCCTTTGCTTCCACTCTTTAACCTACTTCTATGCATTTGCAGAAAACATGGAACATAGATGCGCTGCAGCTGTCACCAGCCAGCCTCAGTACTGCAGTACAATTGCCCATGAGCAGCTATCTCTAATAGGGACCTACAGATGTTTTAGATTCTAGCTCCCATCAGCTGCCGCCAGCAAAGCCAGTGGTGAGAGATTAATAGGGGTTGGAAACATCTGAAGAGCACCAGGTTGGGGTGGGGGAGGGAGACTGCCCCAGCGAGGGTATTTGAGTTTAGTCTTTCAGGTTCCCACAAATCAGGGGTCCTGAATGTCTACAAGCATTTCAACAGGAACAACGTATGGCCTTAGAACTTCTTGTTTATGCTATGGAAGCAAAGGAAGAAGCAGATTCCCGATGTACATAGGTATTGGGCCAGAAAGAAGATATACAGCTGTGGTTATGCTTTGGCAGAACCCATGGTATACATTGCTGCTGTGCTCACTGCTACACATGCCATTATCATCATCCTTTCCCACCAACAGCAGCTTGGAAGGTGGGGCTATTCAAAATTCCTCCTTTTTGCCACATGACCCTTAGCAGACAGCGGAATTTTAAAGCTACTTAGACACTTGCCATTTCCCAATAACTGCATGGCAACGACCAGATCATGTGAAAGCTGGAAAGAGAAAATCACAGCCACACTTGTACCCCTTCTAGAGCCTACAGCACACTTTCCAAACTGTGTTGGGACACATGTTGGCTGCAGTGTCTAGGTGTGTCACGCGAACACTCCCCATGCTCCTCCTGGGGTTGGAAAGGGGTTAGTTTAACCTCCCGTTTGCTAGTAAAACTGTGTTGCGAAATGATGCCTGTCTAAAAAGGATGTCACCAACATGAAAAATTTGGAAAGCCCTGGCCTAATGGATCCGTTTTGCCAAGGGCTATCTACTCCAGCTAACAGCAGCTTGCCAAAGAAACTGGGAAGAGGTTTGGCCCAGTTCTCTTACAACAGATCCTTTTCACTGCAGATGTTAGGATTATCCTTTGCATGCAGAGCCTAAGATCTAGTATCCATCTCTCTTGATTGTTTATCCACTTGCTGTGTAATACCAGCAACTCCCATGTTTCTGCACCTCCGCACAAAATGCCCCATAGCTTGCATACATAGGAAACTGTTTATATTTCCGCCACCCAAAGCAGAATCACAGCCTCCCCCTCCTCCTGCTGTCCCACCAGTGCATGGGGCAGTTCAATTAGTAGAGAATCCTACATACCTGGTTTCTGCTGCCAGCAGCTCTGCTGTAGTAGAATCTTGCAAACAGCACCACCCACCAGGCTTGCAAGCTTGATGAACTTTGAGCAGAAACGAATGTCCCCTTCACCTCCAGCACACCCTGTTTATATAGGGCCCAGGTTCCTATGGTAAGTCTGGCTCTTATCTTGAATCATTAAGCTGGTTCAGACAACAGTTGCTACACACTGCATTTTTTCCATCTCCAGGCATAAGGCAAGAGCAGAGTTGTGGATGTTGACTGCCTTATACTTGCTTCTAATAGCTGTTTGTGCACCCAAAACATTACAGAACCAGTGAGTCCACATTGTGCATACTACAGTAATAATCCCAAACTGAAGACTAGGAGAACACAGCAGCTGTGTGAAATTAGTGAAACACTCTTGCTTCTGCCTGCAACCTATCCACTTTCCTTTCACTTTCCAAATCAAGTGAAGGTGCAACACTTTTCATTCTCTCACCTTCCCTTCAAAACAATTTTTCCAGCTGTGAAAGGAGCAACTTGAAAGTTGAGTGGGCCACTTTGCCCACAAACTTTCTCCCCTGTAGCAACATGTGCATTAACAATCCAGAGTAAGAGATATGGGGCAGATGCCAACAGGAAACTACCCTCCTCCCCTAGTAAAGCTCCTGTGTGTGTGTGTGTTTGTGTTCTTGTTACCACCTTGTCAGGATTTGTTTTTCAGTCACAAACTTTGGAACCAAGCTACTTTGTGGGCTATACACAAGACATATCAGCTTCACTGCTGGAGGAAGAGAACACTGGGGGGTAGAGTGGTGGTATCTTCAAGCACAGAGTGTCTCAGGCCTTCTCAGAAAAAGTAGATATCTGGCTGCCACTTCCAAGAGATGCAGAAAGGATGCAGCAGGTTCTCCCTCTAGTGACCAAAACCCAGAAATACACAAGCCCAAGAAACAGAAGAGATGCCACACAAGATGAAAAAGGCTTAAAATCCCTTTTAATAATGCATTCCTGTAACAATCTTCAGACAAACTCAACCTGTTAGTGGACGATTACAACTCAGGTTCACATAAAGAAAGTCTCATACTTCTACACAAGACAGGCAAAGTTAGGGTTATACGAACAGTTGCTTCAACTTGAGTCTTCAACAGGAAACTTTAATTTGTCCAATAGATTGTACTTTTCTACCAGTAAAAAAAATGTTTTGTTTTTTTAAATGGTACAACACATTGAATAAGTCATCTCCATATCACCACCACCACTAACCTGGCCCTCCTGGCTGCACCAGCGAGCTACAATAAAGGAAAAAATGGTCCAGAGGAGAAAAGTGAAAAGCTACAAGTTTATTCTTTAAAAAAACTAGTCCCCCGTCCCCCACATGATAAGCCGTTTGAAGCTACAGACATTTACAGACTCACAGGCCCTGCTCTACTGCTCTGGAAAAATATATCCAGAGAGCTGCATGAAGGCAGAACAGGCCTCCAATGGCAGCTGAGTTAGCTGGGGGCTGAACCTGTGTTGTGGTGCTTGGGAATGGGAGAGACATCAAGGTCCTAACCTGGCCTCTCACACTACACAGCTAGTGAAGCTTCCTGGGATCCATTTTCACATTGCATTTTGCAGGAATGCACCTTGTGGCATCGACTAAACCCTTTACAAATCTGGCTGGGTGCCCTTTTGCCATGGCCAGACCCCGGATGCCCAAGGGAAGCCCCTAAGGGTTGTCCCGATGGAATGGGCAGGAGACTGGACATGCCTCCCTCCCCATTTAGTATCGGCGACGCTTGTTCGGGCCAAAGTCCCCCCCAGGAGCTCCTCTGTTGAATCCTGGTGTGTTTCCTCCCATGGTTCCAAGTCCTTCCATTGCAGCGCCCTGGCCAAAGCGATCAGCGGGTGGTGGTGGAGTCTGAAGGAAAGTGAGGAGGGAAAAGAAGCTTGGGTTAGAAACATCCCTCAAGACTGACTGCAACTGTACAGACCCCATGCAACCTCCACTTAGTATGCTCTTCCCTCCTCCACCAATAGCCATTATGGGGGAACCACCAGGGCCCAAGAGGGCTTAGGAAGAACACATTAAACTGTGCACCAAAGCAACAGCACCCGAGTTCTCTCTGACTTCCAAACCCTTTTCATTTTCTGTCACGTCTTTTTTGGCAAATGCACAGCTGCCAAGTTAGGAAAAGGAGGAACACACGGCTTAGCTTCTTTGCTTCTGCCCCCTGCCAAACCATTAGTTGAATCATGTAGCTAGCTGATTCAAATCAACTTACAAAGAGAGAAGATGCTCATGCAGATTCTTGCCTAGATCAAGGGTTTTGCAACCCACCCTCTCAGCCAAATCCTGCCTAATTGCACTTGGTTGACCTTACCATTCCCATGGCTCCATCAGGAATCATTGGCCCAGGACCAGCTGCAGGTGGTGGCCCTGCTGGAACACTGGTAGCTCCCATCGTCCCTCGGTTGTTCATGCCTATCGCACCTGAGGAAAAGCAAGGAGGCCTCTTGGTCTGTATACCCCTGAGGGTTAAGTGGCCACTGAAAGCTCAGCTCCCTTACTGCACATATTCCTGCTGGTGAATAGCACCTGTGGCCCACCCAGAGCTCAGCTACCTGCTGACTTAGGAACCTGCAGCCACCACATAGAACAGCTGATGAAGCACAACCCAACCCAAAACATTAACAGGAGAGGAAAAACCACTTGCAGCTTACCTCCCATACCCATCTGTCCCATTCGCATATCTGGAGGCTCCCTCTGAAACAGACAGACAAGCTTGCTTCAGACAACATCCCGACACCTCCTTCTGGCAGGACACATGAAAGAAGCTTCTCTGTGCTACTGCCCAGGCCAGAAGGGGTTAGAAACTGTATGAACTGTAGAAGCTGACCCTCACCACCCCACCAGGTGAAGCAAGTCCCCTACCGCATCAGGGAAGGCCCCCTTAAATCCTTCTTGCCGCCTCATCATCTCTTCCTGCTGCCTCCTCATCTCTTCCTCACGGCGCCTGCGTTCCTCCTCTTGCCTGCAAGGAAGGCTCCCATATAGTCACACCAATTGGAGAGCTATCAAACAATTCAGACTTGCTTATGCACAAGCTACAGATGCTCTCAGACGCTTCTTGGCAACAGCCTTGCCCCTACAAAGTCCTACCAATTACCAGCACAAGTCAAGTAAATTCACAGGCAAGTAAATTCACAGACAGGTGTGACTGATTCCCTGCTCACCTGAGTTCCAGTTGTTTACGCTTCTGCACCTCCTGGTTGTGCAGCTCCTCCATTCTCCTGAGTTCTTCCTGGCGCCTCATTAAGTCTGGAAAAAACATCCACAGGGGTGACAGGTCAGGATGCCTGCACTCCCTGCTCCCAGCAAACTGCAAAGGCCATCGCCATTCTGCTTCTCACCTTGCCTCATGAGCATGACCTGATGCTCATGACGAGCTGCCTCCATTTCCATCTCCAGCTTCTCCCGTGCTTCTTTGATGTTGCGATCCACTTGCTCTTGCTGCTGCTTTTCCATCTCAATCAGGGCCTTCCAACGCATAGCATACTCATACTCAAAGGAACCGGGCTGTGCAAAACGGGGAGGTTGCTCACGCTCCCTGCAACAGCAAGGTGGAAAAAATCCAGTCACTTAGGAAAAGGCAACTTGAGTTAGTGAGAGTCACAGGACTGGGGTCAAGGCAGAAAGTAAAGTTTACAGGCAAGCAGCTTGCATCATGAACGTTTCTGAGAATGGGAATCAAGCTCAGATAGCTACTAAGTTTGCTTTATGCATCCTACCACTATGCTTAGCAAAAGCCAACAAAACAAGGTGGAAAAACACTTGCATGCTACTTTATGTTACATTTTTATGTTTCTGGAAGCCACTTTATAGAAATTGGCTTGAAAAGTAGTAATAAATCCATTTAATAACAATGGTATTTCCCATAAAAATGTAACTGTCCTCAGATGAGCTTCCCCTAAGAAGGCACCACTTCCACGGGCTACTTACTTGTGATATTGTTGGTTTTTGATGACAAGTTTTTCTGGCAGTCCCTCTTCATCATCATACTGATCCATGGGCTCCACAGTCACAGGTCGAGGGAACCTGTCAATGAAAATTGTATCCATCTAAATAAATGCCAAACTCTTTAAAGGCCAAAATCCAAGAGCTAGCAGCAGCCTTTGTACAGGCTTAGGCATGATCACGGCCTTCCTTAGCCTAGTTACCAACACTCTTTCCCTGAAGCTGAATGCTGCTGCCTCCTGGGACCAATAAGGACTCCCAGGTGAAAAACAATGTTCAGAGTTAAGAAGCACTAAAGCAGCACAAGAGAGACCTGAGATTCTGCTGTGGCCAGCAATCCATAATACCTTTGATCCAGCCTTGCAAATAATGTTTGACTGGGCAAACCACCATGTGTCCTGTGGTGCTCAAAAAGCATCTCTTATAAAGGTATGAGCACCAAATGTAGAGCCCACAATTTTCTGGTTGTAGTTCTTGTTCTACCAGCCCTGTTCAACATAAGCAATGACTGGTGATGAGTAAAACTGCAATACTGTATTTCTTCATTTAGCTCTGTAGACACAGATAGAGAACATCACTTAAGATTCAGGCCCACTGAATAAATGCACTCTTTATTGCCCTCTACCGGTAAGACACACATACCGCCCTAAGTCAAAAGACCTGGTTTCTTTTATTGTACTTACAATAGTAAACTAGAATAACTTACGTGGTTAGCAAGAAGGAACCCTCACTACATCTGTCCAGGGCTTTTCTAGCAGCCGGCTTTCCAGAAAATTCTACAATGCCTTTCCCAGAAGGTCTGCCTCTGTCATCCACAATGACCACAGCCCTCTCCACTTGGCCAAACATTGAGAAGGCCTCCTCCAGAAGCTCATTGGACACAAACTGTGGCAGGTTCCTGACAGTCAGTGAGGCACTGTGGCATGCAAAGCGCACGCGCAATTGCTTCCCACGCAGGGGCATGTTGTCCAGCTCCACTTTCGCAATCTCAGCCAGAGTTCGAGTTTCCTGGAGACAAAAACACACACGCACCACCCATTAAAGCCCACCACACCAGAATTATTTCAAGTGGGTAAATAATCCACCAGCTCACTGCTACTGGACCAAGAACCTCCCTGAAGAGACAAAGGGGTAGGCACTCCCTAACAAAGCACATATTACGGGAAAAACAATTTTATTCCCAAAGAGAGTGGAATGGAGAGTGTAGGGAGCCCAGCAAAGAGAACACTTTGGCATTACAAATAGCCAGGACTTGAGAGAAGAGATGAAAATCAGGGAACTGATGAATGCATGACTCTCATGGGAGAGTAGATTCAAACTTGAGAAAAGGGAGCCCAAGATTTTCCAACTGGATCTTTTCATGTGTGACATTTAGGGCACACACTTGTAAGCTACTCTTAAAAATACAGCATTCCTAGCGCCTCAACACTGGAGTAACAACAATTAGCAGAACATAGTCGGAAAGTACTATGTGGCATAGGATCTGGGATGCAAAATAAATTATACATCAGACTTTGGGAGGGATCCAAAATCAAGGACAAAGAAAAGGAAAGAAAACCAGACATAAATATCATTATATCCACAATCCATTATTAGTTGTTGTTGTTGTACTTGTTACTATGGAGAGTAGTAACAGGCTCTTTTTAAAAAAATCTGCTTTGTTTACAAATAACTAGATGTTGCCATTAAGGTCTTACATAATCTCACGTGTAGAAGTTACTAAGAATTTCAAACGGCAGCATATTTCACAGGAGATTAAATCCACAGGCCTTCTTATATACAGTACCTTATTTTCTGAGTTAATTTTTTAGCAATTACTATGGACCAGATTTGATCATAAATCTTTATCCAACTCATCTAAATATTTTCTTTTCCTTACAATAACCATCCTGGCAGCCAGCAATA